CTAAGGAGAAGAAGAACTGGACTGTTGCCCAGTGGTCCAAAGTCCTCTTTTCAGATGAGAGCAAGTTTTGTATTTCATTTGGAAACCAAGGTCCTAGAGCTGGAGGAAGGGTGGAGAAGCTCATAGCCCAAGTTGTTTGAAGTCCAGTGTTAAGTTTCCACAGTCTGTGATGATTTGGGGTGCAATGTCATCTGCTGGTGTTGGTCCACTGTGTTTTTTGAAAACCTTGGTCACTGCACCCATTCACCAAGAAATTTTAGAGCACTTCATGCTTCCTTCTGCTGACCAGCTTTTTGGAGATGCTGATTTCATTTTCCAGCAGGCACCTATCCACACAGCCAAAAGCACCAAAAGTTGGTTAAATGACCATGGTGTTGGGTGTGTTTGACTGGCCGGCAAACTCACCAGACCTGAACCCCATAGAGAATCTATGGAGTATTGTCAAGAGGAAAATGAGAGACCAAAAATGCAGATGAGCTGAAGGCCACTGTCAAAGAAACCTGGGCTTCCATACCACATCAGCAGTGCCACAGACTGATCTCCTCTATGCCACGCTGAATTGAGGCAGTAATTAAAGCAAAAGGAGCCCCTACCAAGTATTGAGTACATATACAGTAAATGAACATACTTTCCAGAAGGCCAGCAATTCAATAAAAATGTTTTTTTTTATAGGTCTTATGAGGTATTCTAATTTATTGATAGTGAATTGGTGGGTTTTTGTTAAATGTGGACCAAAATCACCACAATTAAAGGTAAGCCTTTATTAGCAGCTGCGTGTGCACTGGACAGAAATCAGTTATATGACAAACAGTAAACTACAGCCTGAGCCAAAATAGAGTGCCCTTTTCATTGTATGGAATCATTTTTGAATTGAAAATTGTTCTGAATTGAACTGTCACACCAAAAATTGGAAGTGAATTGCGAGTTTGCCCAAGATTCCCAACCCTCATTACAACCATCTGATGAAAAAAGAAACCAGGTCAGAAGAACAGACCTGTAAAGATCAAACATGCAGACACAACAGAGCAACAACCAGGCTCTTATTCAACCCACACTGCACTGTGAAATGACAGGGAGCTGGTGGCTACCTTGAGCAGACCCTGAACAAACAGGCCAGTGTCATATTTGAAAGAAGACGGAGCCCTGCAGAGACGAGAGCACTTCCTCTCAGCTGGGGTGAGGAAGAGGCAGAGCGTCCGCACAATCTGCAAGAAAACAGATCTGTCACTCAGCACAGTGGCTGGAGAAGCCTTTAGAAAAAGCCTGGCTTTGTGCTTTCAGGTGAAAGAAAAACATGGGCATATTTTGGTACAAACAGGTCTAACTTGCCATTATAAGGTGTGTGCATGTATGTAACCATAACCAGGTATGTAACCATGCTGTATTTGGTTTTCCTTCTAAAAATTGTGAATTGAAAACAAATTGCTTGATTTTTCTTGGTGACAGATAGTGAAAAACATTGGATTCCTGCTCACTGTTAGCACAAATTTTAATAAAGAAGCCACATTCTCAAATTCACCTCTGAATTTCCCTCAGGATCAATGAAGTATCTACCTACATTCTGATTATAGCCATTAATCTAAGATTTGGCTCAAGGCCAGTTGTTAAATACAGACATAACTGCTGCTCAATTCAGGCCTCAAGCTAATAAAAACACAAATTAAGGCTGTGTCTTCTTCTACTTTCAGCTGTTCCCGTTAGGAATCATCTGTTACCACCTAACTCTATCCTCAGCATCCTCTACTCGCATCCCAATTAACTTCATGTCCTCCTTTAGCACATCCATATATCTCCTCTTTGGCCTTCCTCTTGACCTCTTGCCTGGCAGCTCCATCTCCAACATCCTTCTACCAATATAACCACTAGCCCTCCTCTGCACATGTCCAAACCATCTCAGTCTGGCTTCTCTGACCTTGTCCCCAAAACAGCCGACCTGAGCTGTCCCTCTGATGTGCTCATTCCTAATCCTGTCCATCCTGGTCACTCCTAAAGAGAACCTCAACATCCTCATCTCTGCTCCCCCCATCTCTGCCTCTTGTCTTTTCCTCAC